AGAATGTGGAAGACGGTTAAGTCGGACGATCCTGTTGAAAATACTTTACAATGTTTGCTTCTTGTATCTTTTTTTTTTTTGCAAAAGATCGCATCTGTCATGAGGTTCGGGACTATTGTGTTGAAAGAATTCATATGTACTCTTAGTTCTTTTAGGTTTCAGCAAACTCATTTGAATCTAGTATATCGATAAATGTTTCTGGATGCGGGAAAGATAAACTAGCATTATCTAAGCACTGCACAACAGAAAGTTTCTTATAAAAAAAGCTAATTCATCTCGGGTACGGAAGGCGCATTCTGGTGAGCGATCGCGGCTGTTTTGCTCCCAGACGAAACCTATTCATCCGACTTTATAGGAGGACGCTCCCAGTGTCGTAACATTTGCTGAGCGGCCTTGGTCCACTCCACGGTGCATGCATCTGAAAGCTGTTCGATCTCTGTCAGGGACGGAGTCTTTCCTCCCCACATCGCCGGGTTTGTCGCAATGTCCCTGGCGTGCTTAGGGATTATTTGCCTTTTTCGTGTCCCATGCCATTAGTTCTATTCTTTTTTGTTTTGAACGGGGGAATGTTCCAGGTAAAGGCAGCCTACTGTTCCTGCAATTTGGAAAGAACAAGCCAACAGTAGTTCCAACTCCGCGCGCTTTGAGGATCGCTAACCGTTAGGGCTTTGGCTTCGTCAAGACACTCAGAACTAAAAGGATAGTTTCTCGTGAGGAATCTCAACTCGCTGAGGAGGTTGTTTGAGTTGACATAGTACACCCAGGCGTCGGACAGTGGCTGGGTGACTTCCACATGATCAAGTTTGGTAAGAACTCTTTCTGCGCTGCGCAATTCGGTGATGGTATTTATGCGATGAGTGCGCAATGCGCTGATGAGCTGCTCTTTATTATATTGCATTTCGAAGGCTTGAGCTGAGGGAGAAGCCAAAAGGGGATATCGTCCAAACCAAGGCGAAAGCAAAACGAGGAATAGTAAGTAGGCTGAATAAAACAACAGTACGGATATCACGATCGTTTCCTATATCTTTCTGGTGACCGAAATAAGGGACATAGAACCAGCACTCAGGAGAGGGACTTCATTATATAGCCCAACTAGTGCTCTCTGTGGACTTAGCACCAGACAATATGTGCTTTATCAAAGTAATACCCAGGTCATTTTCCAAGTGCCATCCTGTCTAAATTGTGAATAGCGTGATTGCATTTGCAGGTGGCAAGCCTTGACGACAAATAGAAGGTCGAATTGAGGGCGGTAACATTGATCCGCTTCATCTACTATTCCAATAGCCACTCTTCCGGCTAAACTATTTTCTTCATCAGCAACATTCCGCACTGCATGATTAAGTCTGAAGAGTAGTCCGGAGTTTATGTGGGTTGGCAGAAGCTCCGGGAGCATGGGATCGTCGTATGCAATATGTCTTAAGAGGCTGAAGGAGCGTATAATAATTGGAACATTCCCGAGTAGCTGTGATAGTTTCTCATGCGCTTGGTATTATGCGTGTTGGAATCGTGTTGGAAGAAGGGTACCTTGTATTCAAGAAACTGTAGAAAACTCAAAAGTTATTGCAAAGCACAAGAGTTCATTGCTGTTGATTTCCATCATGGTAATGCTGGGCGGCGATGAAACAGCAGACATAGCGTAAATAACAATGGCAGTGATGGCGAGTTGCGGGAGGTTGGTCGTGAGAGTGGAGTCTCGAATGGATGTTGAGGCTCGCTTAGCCTCCAATTTAGCCTCCGGGAAGCCAAAATTCCTTCAACATCGACAGCATAGAATACCGGAGTGCCGGAGTGCCGGAGTCTCGGACTTGGAGAGCCCATCGTCGCGATCGACGATTGACGGTAGGGCTGCGAACGAGGTCAAGATGCCGGAGTGCCAGCGGACCAGCTTCCACTCTAACCAGCCAGTCATGACGAGCAGCAAGCATTTCGTAAGTCGCTATCTCGAACATCGCTGCTTACGAAACGGCATATCGATATTTGGAATTCACCGTGCTCCACCACTGCGAGGTGCTTATATGATGCTTATTTCATTCACGATGAAAATTAAACGCTTCAGCTTCACGTCAGCTCGGCCATCGTTCCCTGACTGCGCAAGGAACGAAAGGTCTATTACAAACTCAAAAGAAACACAAAGATACGAACGAGATTGCTTCCCTCTCCCTAAGCCAGTATTTGTCACCTTTTTTTGTGTGGTGATCGAGGGCAGTTTTCTTCCATTTCCACAACTACTACAGAATAGTATCTATGTAGTTACTCCTGACCCAAGCCTGTATATCAGCATTAGGAGGAGATATTTGTCCTCGATAGTTTTATTGCCGGTGAAGGATATCCCGGCATCTTATCGACATAGCTAGCTGACATTTCGAAACATGTTCGTATTGAGCCGATAAGGCCACCAAACATATTTCAGTCTGCGTAGCTGGAACTGCAGAAAAAAATTTGCATTTCATTAGGCTGTTTTCAGTGTGCACATTATTTCTCATATCGAACTCGTTGACTTATCAGTTAGTAGTTAACGATTCATAAGTTTCATAGTTACATATTTAATCTTTCAAGCCAACTAATGCACTCCCCTCTGCTCCTCAGTGAAAAGGCTCTCAATAATATAATATCTCATCCCGAGATTTCAACAACAGCGACAACAAGTCTTGCGTATCAGCATGGAATTCTCCAGCATGTCCGACTCTGGAGAATTCGCCTCGAATTTCTTCCCTGTGTGGGGTTCTGACATCTTATCTGATAAGTCATCACTAAGCATTTTAGCGCATCCAGAATTCTTTATCCCGACATTCAAAAACCTGGACATCAACCACCACCGTCCAACACATGCTCGTTTCTTCCTTTCCCTGCGCTTGTGAAGCCGTAACCGGTCTACCGTCTTGCGCTAGGTCATGACCCTGTAGATCGGGCCCAAGGCGGAATGCCTCCAGATCAAGACTTACAACGATCAGCACCAACCCCACGCAATACCGAATAGCTGATCAGGGCGCCGAAAAACATTGCAACGTTGGTTCCGAGACGGTTGGCCCTTGCGGGAAGGCCAAAGGGACAAGAAGGCCATTAAGTGGAGACCGAGGGAAAAGAAGTAGCCCTATACCGCCTTGCCATTTCTTTGTCATCTCGACGACGCTGACCTCCAAGTCACCATGCCCTCGACTCCGAATCCAACGCGCCGCCGACGCATGTCAGCACAAACATACCACACCTTCTCGACTCCTCCGCCCAAATCCCGAGGGCGGCCTTTATCAAGCGAGTCAACTTTATCGAGTTCCAATGGCGAAGCGGAATCTTCCGTCACTGAATCTCCCCTTCCTACCGAACAAATGGCTATCCTCGCAGTCATTGCACTCTGCGAACAGACTGCTTTCAACTCCATAAGCCCCTATATCCCACACATGACAGCTTCGTTTCCAAACGTGAGCCATGGCCAGGTAGGGATGTACGTGGGTGTAATCGCATCTGCATTTGCGCTGGCGCAGTTTGCAACGAACTTCTTCTGGGGCTGGGTATCGGATCGCATTGGCAGAAAACCGGTGATTCTCTTGGGGACGATTCTTAGCGCTGGCTGCTTTCTAGCCTTTGGGTTTTGCAAGACTCTTTGGCAGGCCATCGTGGTTCAGGCTCTGATGGGAATAGTCAATGGAAACCAGGGTGTCGTCTCCACTTGTTTGGGCGAGATTACTGATCGCTCTAACCAATCTCGCGCTTTTACATACTTACCGGTGATTTATGGGATTGGAGGGGTTACGGGTCCAATAATCGGTGGCCTCCTTGTTTCGAAGTCTAGCCAAATGAACGAAAACTATCCTTATTTGACCCCCAACATCGTCTCAGCTGTCATCCTAACGCTAGACTTCACCCTAGCATCTCTATTCTTGCAGGAAAGTCTTGAAAACTCGACCACGCTTCCTAAACTAGAGAAAAAAATGCGCGAGTTGTTCACATGGCTTTGGCAATTTACCAGCTCTTCAAGACCGACATACCTACGAACACTCCGTCCCAATCACCAACACCACAGCCCGAGCGCAGAACGACAGAGCTATTCCTCGGTGTCAGGCGAGGAAACCGATGCCGATATCGATTCCTCTTCCGCGACACCAAACACTGGGCTATTCCATCTACCAAATAACTCCAGCGGGCTCGAACGGGATGAAATCTTCAATAGAGACACGGTCCTCTTACTCATTACCTATTTGATATTCGCATTAACTAATGTCGCGTTCAACTCTCTTTATCCCATTTTCGGTCAAGCAGCACTGCCGACGGGTCGCGAACTCAGCCCTGGCGAAATCGGACTCTCACTCGCCTTTGCAAGCATTGTGTCGATTGCGTTCCAGATTTGTATATTTGGGAGACTTCGAGACAAGATGGGCAACAAATGGTCATATCGAGCCAGCCTGCTCGGATTCGTTATTTCATTTATCTTGATGCCATTTGTCGGGTACAAGGACGATGCTGGGACAGGGAGCGAAATCTCCAAGAGCACAATCCTTCTCGCGATTGAATTATGTGTGGTTCTGCTGGTGAAAACAGTAGCCGCCGTTGGTGGCCTGACCAGCGCTCTTCTCTTGGTAAGCTATGCGAACCTCTTTTTCCTTTGATCAAAAAGATCCCGCCATTGGTTTTTTTTTTTTTTTTTTTTTTTTTTTTTTTTTTTTTAGTACTAACACTTACACTCCTCTGCCTTCTGCAGATCACCAACTCTGTCACGAACACTCATGCCTTAGGCTCTCTAAATGGGCTTGCCCAGACTCTATCTGCCTTAGGACGGGCCGTAGGCCCATTTCTATCAGGAAGTCTCTTCACCCTCGCAACCCGAATCGAACCCAAAGGCGAAGCAATGGCCTTTGGTGTTTTCGGTGGTGTTGCGTTCCTCGGTTTTCTGCTAAGTTTCGGAATCAAAGCCAATAAACTCGAGGCTGCTGGATTCGTCGATCATGACAGCGTCGATCACTATAAATCCGATGATGAAGAGACTTTGTTATGAGGCTTGGTGGTTTTTATCCATGTCATTATTATCTTTCCATTTTAGTTTATTTTATTTTGGTTTGCTTCCTGCTTACAAAAGTTAAAAGAACTCCAGCGGATTTTTAACGCGCGGAGAGTCGTTTGGGTATTCTGCCTCGCCACCAGCCCCCTCTTTCCTCTCCTGTCGTATATTTATACATCCCCATCCCTCTATATAACAGAACGTCGGTGGCTTGTTTTTCGATATCGCTTCACTTTCATTGTTCCTCTCTCCTTGCTACGCCTTTAATGATATTATGACGCGGTCGCTCATGATTTTTATACTAATTTGACAGGTGTTCTGGATTTTATTTTTTTCCTTCGCTGGCTTTACCTCGGATCGTTATAAAAATAGAGCATAGAGAGGCGAATAATCAAAACGACCCAAAAAACAAGGCCCTCCTACTTTTTTTTGTAAATATTCTCAACCCAGAGGGCCGCTGTCAATTTTAATTTCCATTCTCTTTCCTGACATCATTTGGATTCATTATTTTCCCTTTCTGAAAATTAGAAAGAGATACAGACAAGCATATACTGGCATGCCGCTGGAGTATAGCAAGGGCTTTATGAGAGGTTTTACGGCAAACATCATTTTGTTTGTGTTGGCTAGTTTCAGCCCCCAATTTTTATATCGATTCCAGGAAATATTCTATGTTGGCGAATCTGATCTCCTCTCATTCGGTACCTCCTGTGACAGTGGCGCTTGAAGCATAACCATCAATATTTGACTAAATACGCCATAGACGCCCATCAGCATGTTAGTGCTTGGGCTAGTAAGCTCGACAACCATCACATTTGCCATTTGAGCTTCCAACAAAGGGTGAAGAGTATCACTGCATCAGAATAGCTCATATTTCGTATGTAATCCAGACATACAAACTTAACCAGAGCCATGCAGTAGTTAGCAGCAGATTCCTCGCTATATAAAGCTGTAAACATCATTTGACTATTGCAAATGGCAACCCGCCCCGCGATCCTGATTTTGTCTACTCCGTACAACCCCCCCTGGTTCGGATTCACAAAGTCCCCGATCGTTGGCGGACGGGATCTTTTCAACCGCACCCAGGCCTGCAGATTTGGCCTCCACAATGCAGACGATCTGCACGGTTTGTGACACCCAATATCCCGCCCATCAGACATGAGACACGACGCCCAACCAACCTGAGCCTGCTGGTCCAACACCACCATCGGACCGCACCCGCGATCCACCGGCTTTAGTCTTGACATCAATCCGCGCTTGCAAGGGATGCTCCTTTCACAACCGTGGATACCTGCGGCAGAGACGCTCGATCTTGTTTTCCCTAAATACCAAGCACACCTCAGGTGTAACTGTGTTTGTTTGTTGTCTTCTTTGTCCTAGGTGCTTTTTTTAAAGGCTGTCCTGCGCACAACTTTCTCCCTGCTCTGCTTTTTCCCACACGAAATGCTGTTACTTCTTGTCAAGATACACCTTCCACGAAATGAGGTTCTGAGCTCCTCTTGAAACCGCCTCTCAGCAAAACATGGCCAGTGCCAGAGCCGATTCAGTTCCTACGGCATGGGCAAAGGATAACTCCTCACTCCTGGAACGAGGAACAGTGCGGGGTGGCGGTAGACGCGCTTCCGAACTGCAGCTCGCAGAGGATGTTATTCGCAAAATCGACCGGCGCATCCTCCCACTGCTATTTGTGACGTACAATTTCAACTTTATGGACAAGGTCATTCTATCTAGCGCATCGGTTTTTGGGCTTCGGGAAGACACTGTGAGCATCGCCATAGACGCCACGCTCTCTACCCCTGAACGTTGGTTCACTCTCTTCTGACTGACGGCATAGCATCTTGTCGGGTCCCAGTATAGCTGGATTTCCAGCGTGTTTTACTTCGGATACCTGTTCTGGACTTTTCCCACATCTATCCTGATCCAACAGCTACCTGTGGGCAAGTATGTATCTGCGAATACATTTTTCTGGGGCGCCGTTGTCGCGTTGACCGCGGCTTGCTCAAACTTCGGCGGATTAATGGGTGTCCGATTCCTCCTGGGGGTTGCAGAGGCAACAATTTCACCGGCATTCGTCTTTGTCACGTCGATGTGGTGGACGCGTGAGGAGATTCCTGCGCGCTGTGGAGTATGGTTTGCGGGGAACTCCCTCGGTGGACTGCTATCAAACTTCCTGGCTTTTGCCATCGGCCATATAAAGAGGCCTCTTGCAGCTTGGCAGTGGTTATTCATTGTACGTTCCCTGCCCCACATATTGAACTGTACAGCAAGTCGCTGGATTCAACTCCTTACCTGTCTTTGACTGCGTTCCTTTCCAGGTTCTCGGCGTGGCTACCTTCCTTTGGGGGGTTTTCTTGCTTTTCCTCCTCCCAGACACAATCGCTTCCTGCGATTTCCTGAATGAAAGAGAAAAAATCTATGCGGAGCATCGTGTGGAGTTTGCTGGCACGGGGAAGATCCGACACGAGTGGAAACGGGATCAAGTGATCGAATGCCTCATGGATCCTAAAACCTTCCTATTTCTTAGTGTTTCGGTCTTGACCCAAGTATGTGAACTTCAAGAAACTCGCATGGCCATCCTTCTCAAAGAAAAAATCGAGAAATATTAATCTTTGGCGTCACAGATACCCAACGGTGGAACCCAAAACTTTGGCAACCTGGTCCTCAAGGGCTTTGGCTTTTCGCCCCTGGAAACTACTCTAATTATCACCCCAGCATCTGTCCTGTGCATTTCCACAGTTCTCATAACGTAAGCTGAGCCATCTCCCTGTTGTCCTCTCCTCACTTGTCCAACCTCCTTTGCTAATCGCTGTCTAATACTGCTGGATACAGCGGCTGGTTCTGTAGCAAATACCACAATGTGGCGACGTATCTTATCTGCGGAATCGTTGCATTCCCAGTCGCCGGGAGTGCGATTATCTACTCAAACGTCAGCAAGGGCGTCAAATTATTTGGATACTATCTCATGTCACCAGGGCCAGCAGCACTACCCCTCACCATGTCGCTGGTAGCAGTCAACTACAAGGGCTCAACGAAGAAAATGACCATGACAGCTATTTTATTCGTAGCCTATTGTGCTGGAAATATGTGAGTCTTGCGCCTTCTCAGTGTTTGTTATAAGCCCAGACAAGAGAAGCAAACTTAGCAACTACCATTGGATATCCCCCCCAGCTTCGGTCCATTTGTGTTCCCCCCCTTTCCCTTTCCCAACTCTCTCTCTTTTCACTAGCTAAGCAAAATGCCTCCAGTGCGGGTCCCCAATTTTTCATATCAGCAGAGGCTCCCCATTACCCAACGGCCTTCCGCGCTATTCTCGTTTGCTACTCACTAGTAGTGGTAAGCGCACTTGCGCTCAGGTTTTACCTAAATTGTCTTAATCGGAAGCGCGATGAGAAGGAGCGTGTGCCAGCGGTGGGAAATGAAAGCGGCATGGCGAATAAGATTAACCCAACTTCGGGGGAGGAGGAAGAGGAAGAGCTCACAGATTTCCATGCCAGAGGTTTCAGGTATCGGACATAGGATTATAACGGATGATCTTACTGAAACTGCGTTTTATTTTATTTTTTTGGTGTTTTTTTTTTTTTTTTTTTGGATTGTCGCGTCCATGAGGACATGCTGATTTGTATATATATATATATATATATATATATATCTGGATGGATGGATGGATGATTCGATCGCCACTCGTTCTCGGAAGACTTTGCGGTAAAATCGGTTGGTAAATTTCCATATTCTGGAAGTCATTCCAGGGAACACGGGTCACGAATTTATGAAGTAACGTCGCTTACCATTTGACACTTTTCGAAATTACCTATGTAGTGGTTTCAATATAAATTATCTCTAGGAAACAATATCAAGCATTCCTATATCCTTGGATACCAGTATTTTCTATAAATTCTGCGAAATACTTTCCACGCTACCGCATCCACCGCGCCCGAACCCCCCATCTACTCCCTTCGCCGGGCGACCCTCGCCTACTTTCGCACAATAATGTAGTAATAACACAGACCATGAACAAAAGTCTGCTATAGGTATGCTTACGTGGAAACCAAAATCGTAACTATCAGTTGCGT